CAACTACTTGTGCTGCCTCGGCAGCTGTTTCGACAGCAGCAGAGGGCAGGCTCGACCGATCAACCCGGGCAAGGTTTGCCGCACGACTCGGGCGGTTTTATCGCCTCCTTTACCTGCCCCCCTCTTTAATACCAGCAGACTGCAACTACGCTCGGCAGTAACTTTATCGTAGGCAAAGAGGTGTCCGTGTCATCACCCCCGCTTGGTACCACACACCCTGCAAGTGCCACAGCAGTTCTTGGCAGGCAGTGGTATCACGTCCCCTGGGTATCGCACACCCGTCATTGCTCCCGCGATCTGCACTACTGTCACCCGGGGCTACACGAGAGAACACCCCCACACAGCATACAACACCCGGCCGCTTCCGGTGATATTTTTTCCACGGCGTGTGTTCGCTGGTGGTGTCGTACACGGTACGGCGGTGTCTTGCCTGGCGGGCTTGATCCGAAAGACAGACAGAGGTGATCGGGGTGATAAGTTAGCCCGAGACGATCTGAAGGACATGGTAGGTGATCGGGGCGCGTTTTTCCCGAGATGATCTACAGTCTGCATCATGTAGGTGAGCTGAAAATAGTCCAGGATCTGTCCCGGTATACAGCTTTTCAACATACCCCACGTGAAGCATTGGCGCATAAACTAAAAGCACAGACCGCGCCACCGCTTACGAACCTCTTACTTAAGGCCGAGGCTCGTTTCGTGTTACCGCAGCAGTGGTACCACGGTCACTATATAGGTTTTTGTGTAGGGCTTCTTGACAGCACCTGTGCTTTCATTGCCAGGTTTTCAGGCTTTTGAGTTCTTGAGGCTCATGTTTCGAAGGGCGCAACAAGCCGACCGGGTCGGGGTGTGTGAGCCTTCTTAGTAGGAAGCAAGCATAATCTCACAGACAGACTTATATTTTTTAATCGTTAGCAGCTGCGCGGTGCTACCCGACTGAACAACGAAAAGACGTCAGTCTCAGTGCGGTTAAAAACCAACTTTTTCAAGGGCCATGAACTCAAAAGGACCCCTTGAGGGGGCGGCATAGGGGAGGCTTAAGATATTCATTCTCCGGACTCAAGACTGAAACCGTAGCAACAGAATTGTTACCGTCGATGAAGGCTGCTGCTACCTTGCACTCTGGTCCGTTTTGAAGTGCTTTCGCCATCATTCTCACTACTGAACGTGTGTGTTGTGTGTTCCTATTTTCTCGGGGTATCCGGTAGTTGATGCTTTGTTGATAAAAAAACAAGAAGGAGCCGACTCTTCTGGCGTTGAAGCATGTACAGCGGTCCCACGCTGCATATGATTCAGGTTTTGAAGAGGAGTGACCAACCATCTAGTCTAGATGCACCCACCAAGGACGTGGAAGGCACAACAGTCAGAAAGTGTTATCTTCGGGGCATGAAGAATAATTGCCTAGCCGAAAATGGGAACATGCGCTACCCATGCTGTACGGCTGTTGTCGCGGAACACGTTCTCTGTCTCTTGCTGTATGTTGTTGTCTTCACATTCAAAACCGTTCCGATCTCTCTCTACCCAGTACCTTCGTATGTCCGTACTGATCCAACACTCGACGCGGTCGATTCCCGTGGTCGCAGGCTAACTTACCCTAAAAAGGTACACTCACATACAATGGCCCCGAGGGGTCCGCAAGTCAATAGAAATCAACCACAGATATTCATTATGGAGTCCTCCACTCCCTCTGCGCGCTATGCGAGGTAACAACTGAGACTAGGAGACACCATCACGGGCCGGACAGAATCCGGTACACCCCCGTGTACGCATACTGATTGTAGTTTTGTTGTTGTTTCTCACATTAGCTCTATAGTCCACAAAAAATGGGGAGCCTGTGGTCTCAAAACCCGGCACATACGACGCCGCGAGAAAACAACTGTGTAGTATACAGTAGTGGGCCCCCTATAGTGCACTTTGAATAGTGCAACCGCCCGATATAGTGCAGGTAAAATCTCTGCGCACAGACGGCGCCCTCAGTAGTGCAGGATCTGCACTGTTGAGGCAGATACCCGATATAGTGCAGGTTGGGCACCGCGGTGCTCCGCAATAGTGCAGGTGGAGAAACATTGACACACACACACACACGCGATCAAGAGAAAAACAAAACACACACTCACGAACAGCGGATAGACGCAACACAAACGCGGCGCGCGTGCTGCTGCAGACCCGAAGAGCTGTACGCAGCGCAGAGGCGCACCATGCCTATGGATCTGGGGGTCATCGCTAAGACGAAGGTCGTCTACAGGAAGGAGCTGCTCGATGTGAAGGCATCAACCATGTTGGTGGCTGACACACTTCGCGCACAGGCCAAAGCCCGCAAGATGAAGGCCGGTACAATGGGGCTGGCGCAAGGGCACCAACCTCATGTACGGGACGCGGCTGAACTTCTCCAGAAAGCATGGGCCAGCGTCACCCCCCAGGATATTGCCAGGTGAGGTGTGAACATTGCCATCGCGATTTTGAATGTTCAGCTAGCGCGCGTGCACCTGGCTTCTGTGGTGCGATACTTGGGTGTGCACAGTTGTTCGGTTTTTTTTTTTGGCCGAGTATTCCAGCATCTGGACATCTCCAGTGTATCTTCACTACCAAAAGGGTTGTCGCTCACATCCCGATGGGTCAATTGTTCGTCTAACATCGCTTGTTCACCCAAAAACCGATGAATCGCATTTTCTGCGCTACCTCGCACCAGGTGCTTCGTCAAAGCCGAGACGCTTCCAGAGGACATGGCGGCGGAGCTCACCAAGCAACACGGAAAGACCCGGTTCGACATCGCCGAGCCTGACCTGAAGGCTCTCACGGAGACTGTCAACACGTTGAGCACGAGCGTGAGCGACGCGCAGAAGCAGGGATCCGCCGTCGTAGATGACGAGATCGCCGAACTGCTGGCAGAACTCAACATCGAGCCTGGACAGCCGCTCGGGGGGCAAGCGGTGAGCGCAATTCAGGGATGGGCTACCATCGAGGACGATGCTGAGGTGGTAGAGGCTCTTCGGCTGGACGCGGCGGACGACATGGCGGCATTGCTAGCTGGAGCGCGCATTTCTTCCGGCTGCGATGAGGAAGATGAAACGGAAGATGGCGGTGGCGGTGAGAACACGGGGCGCGAGCGCCGTGCTCCACCGGCTTATAGTGAGCTGTCACCTCACTTCGGCGTCCTGGAATCGGCAGCAGATGAGAGTGGCAATGGAGACGCGGCGTTCCATCTGCAGAAAGCAAAAATGGCGATGATCGCAGCGCATGCCGCTGAGCGGGTGCGCCAGGCAGACATGAGAGAGTTTGTCGAGACGTAGTGAAGGCGGCGGGTGTACGTGGTTGTTTTTTTTCCTTTGCAGTCAGCTTCCTATGCGCCTTTCTCGTTTCTTTTTGTTTTTTTTCCCGCAACATCGCAGCGGGTGCGCCGGGCAGTCATAAGGGAGTTTGTCACGACGTTAGCAAGGGTGCGGGGTGCATGCTTGCTTGATTTTTCTTTGCAGTGACCTTCCTGCATGTTTTTCTCTCTTTTTTACTTGTGTTTTTTTTTCTTGCAACATAGCAGCCGGTGCGGCAGGGGTCAGATAAATTGGCACGACGGAGTGAGCTTGCGCCTGGCTGGTTGTGTGTGTGTTGGTTCTTGCTAACTCGAAGCCAGGTGCGCCAGGGAGACATGAGAGTTTGATCATCACGTAATGATGGCGGGGGCCAGCAGTACATGGTTGCTCGTGTTTTTGCAGTGGGCTTCGCCGTATTTTTTTTATACACCCAAGTCTTTTTCTATCACCAACATCGAGGGAAGGCAGGCAACGAGGACTGAGAGTTAGCTTCGTCCGCTATTAATCCACAATCTCGATCCATTTCGTACTCCGTTGGCCGCGCAAAGCGCGGACGCCACACTCACGACGTAAAGTCGAAGAGTGCCTCAATAGTGCAGAACCTGCACTATCGAGGGCACCCTTTTCAGTAGTGCAGGTGCCTGCT